GTTGACTATAGTTCAGGGGTCGGCAACCTTTTGAAGCTGAAGTGTCAAAAGTTACAATTTTCAAAATTTCCCTGGTTTTAAAGAGCCACTAACATTTTTTTTTATTTTAAATATTTTATTTTTTATTAAGATTATTAGTATTTGTTCAAAGAGCTGGAGAGCCGCATCTTGATATCAAAAGAGCCGCATGCGGCTCGCGAGCCGCAGGTTGCCGACCCCTGCTATAGTTTGATTTTCTGTAATCCCATATTTATTTTCGCTCTACTTAAATGCTCAAACCCCTCTTAACCCACCACGCCGAATGAAAAAAAAAATCCTTTGAATCATTATTTGATTACACATTTGCATTTTCAAGAACTATATACACGTTTTTTTTTTGTTTCTTTTTATATATTGTGACTTTAAAAATACTGTTTCATTCATGCCTATAATAACTTTCTAGATTTAATTATGTCAATGTTTAAATTTTTAATACCTTTCTATTTGCCCTACACATGTTATAACTATTTCAGAGACTGGCGTCTAATTAAATTGTATGGTATTTGCAATGAATAATACAAACGGTAGATATTAAATGTAAAAAGCAAAGTTAGTCACCTCAGTGTAGGATCAAAATTCTATTGAAGATGATCCAGACCACGATGTATATGTGTCATCTACTACTGTGGTTCAGTACACATGAAGTAAAAATACATATCATGTATGTTTTTACCTCTACATATAAGAAGGTTGTATAGTCAGCACTGTGAGACCATATTCACGGCATACATTAGAACTGTAGCCTATTTACTTTTTAAAATAGAGTTGATTTCTTTCCCTTACGATCGATTTAATATAGAACTACTACCTTGTCTTTACAAAGGTGGCAAGTTGAATAACAAACTTCAGTGGTTCTCCATTAAAGTCAAATCATACTAATATAACATAATATATATAAGTGTAAAAACAGTTACATGTTATTTACTTTAATTTAAATAACAACACCCGCAGCTCAAGGTGACAGTGCTATCCACCGCTATATAGAACTGAGTGAAAACTAAAATACATTTTGCCAAATGTCAAACAAAGTCATCAAATTATTTGATTTTTATCGTAAAAAATGCAAACGATATTATAAACACAAAACTAACTTGGCTGCGTGATTGCTATTAAACTGAATGTGTACTAACACAAATGCATCTTCTCTTTAAAGCTGCTGATCTAGCCAGAGGGTAGCGAGTTAGAGGGAGGGGGCGAGGGGGTGCGGATCGCAGCGGGTGACATTATTTAGGGGGGTGACACCATGGCAAAAGAATAGCAAAATATATAGAGAAAAATTTGGAGGGAGGGGGGGGGGGGGTGCACGTCGAAAGTTTGAGGGGGGTGGGTGCAAATCAAAAGTTTGAGGGGGGGGGGGTGCAAATATAAAATGTGTCCACGGGAAGGGTCGCTACGCCTCTGAGGGGGGGGGGGGGGGGGATTGTGACATAATTAAGTGCCGCACCGGGTAACACCCGACCTCGCTACGCCACTGGATCTTGCTAACTGAAACTATGCTTCAGGAGCTGCCTAAACATCAATACTTGCAAGTTTGAAACTAACCAGTGCTTTATTTAGCTGTAAAAATATATCAGCAACAATCAGAAGAGATAGAGAAAATGTTACATTTAACCCAGACCATAGCTGTTTTTGTAACGTCAAAAAAAATCATAAAAAAGGAAAAGAAAAAGAAAAAAGTAAATACATGAAAAAATAAAAATAAATGATAATAGTGATCGAAAAAATGCAATAAATGAACACACTTAAATCCACCCAAAAACATTTTAAATCAAACATTAAATAAACAAAGAACGGTGGACAACAAAAGAAACATTACGTCTAATCTACTCCATATTAAATGAATGTGAAAATAAAACAAAGCAAACATGAATAATACTGTTGCAATTATTTGACGTAATTATTCCATATATACTCAACACTCTTATTAAATAAAATGAAATTGTTCAGACTCTTATCTCTGTGTTGCTCTCACAAATTAAGACATATTAGAATTATATTGTTTCGGTGTGATAAATGATCGGGACTTAATTTACATTTCATAAGGGAAACAACTTACCAATTATTTTGTTGATTAACGTGTACCTAAACAGTTCAAATATGGTATACATCTATTACATAATTATATTAATTTTCTAATACAAACGTTTACTGTCGTATATATCATTTAAGAGATAAGTTTTGATATAAAAAAATCAATTAATTTCCTTTTGTATTTAAAAGCGTAAGAACCATTTAAAGATGGTATATAATTAGTCATATACTTTGTGCCTGATCATCATTTAACAGTACTATGTACGTTCTGTTTCCATTTTATTTATTTTTTGGAAAACAATAAAGTATTAATTTAATTTAGACAGTCTCAAGCTAAACATCACTCGATCAGCCCTCAAGTAAACAAACATAATAGTCTCCTGTTTCCCAGGTCTTAAAAGTGCACATCTGAATGGTAGATACATCTTCACCCCCCCCCCCCAGGCACACACACTCCCCCCTTCGCCATCCATCTTCCCTTTATTTAATGTAGTCATATTTTAATTACTTTTAATGATTAATTAGTTATCTAGTTAGAGAGAAAAAATTAGGAATCTACAAATAATTACCGGAAATACAATTTGCCGATGGATATTTTTCCTAAATGTCTTAAATATTCGAATTGACATTTGCCTAATTGTGAGAAATGCCAAATGAACTTTAACCTGAATGGGACAAACGTGAAAATTGACATTGGCTCGAATTTGGACAAAAGCGTGTTGCCGCATGCAATGATGAAAGCCTGGCCTGCCAAGGTGAAAAAGAGAATTACTGGAGATGGCCATCACTTGTTATCTAGTGTTGTCTACACTCAAAGTGTTCATTTAAATATCAAACTTATCAAAATGCTGTCATTGGGCCGGTGAAGTGGAGTCGACTTGTTTAAGTGTTATTGTTAGAAATATTACATTTTAACATAGTAATTTTGTTAAACGTAAAGACTTTAGAATTATTTTATATCTTTTTTTTTAATATTGTGAATTTTTATCTTAATAAGCGTTGGACTGAGATAGATGAATTAAAAGTCTATTACATTGTTTAAAAAGAACTTTGGTAGATGTTATGTATATATGAGCAGGGTGCATTGGCGTAGCTAGGTCGGGCGTCACCCAGTGCGGCGCTTAATGGTGTCACAATAGTATAAATCAAATATTGTATTAAATTTACTTTCGCTTGTGATTTTTACAATTTCAATACAATACATACCTTTATTTATTTAAAAAAAAAAATTATTTAATTGATGCTATATATTTGTGATTTTGACAGAGTTCACATAATCTATATATATATATATATATATATATATATATATATATATATATATATATATATATATATATATATATATATATATATATATATATATATATATATATATATATATATATATATATATATATATATATAATTCTCTTCTGGGAGACGCTAGAAAACAAGTTGTAAGCGCGCTCCCTACCTCCCCAACCCTACATGGTCTGGTGAGCTGTGTTCACATTGTTTACATTAATCGTAGAGCCGGGTTTAGTGACAGCTATTAGGGGCAGGTAAATAAGTTTGAAACGATTTTAAACTATGGTGAGGTAACTAAGAAGAGGCTGCTTTCACGAGGGGGGGGGGTTGTAGGGAAACGGTTGGGGGAAAAGAGAGTGGGGGTAGTATCGTCCTTAATGACCTATTGATAATGTTTTAAAGCAAATATTTTCAGTGGCAGCATTGGTACTGTCGAATTCACAAATTATGAATTACTGAAAAGTAGAAAATAAAACAACTAAATAGCGGCGTATGATATCCCGCGGGTCGGCTCGTACTAACGATTTTTATCTATATCCGGTTATAAAATACACCTTGATGCGTGTTTTCTATATCATTAGCAGGTTTACGTCATGGTGTCACCCCCCCCCCCCCACCTCTCCATCAGTGTCGGGATTTGTCAACTGTGCCTTAAAAGACTATTCCACTTACTCCAATTGATCACCTAATTAAGTGGGATTATCATTTTTCTTTAAATATTTTGCTAATTTTTGCCTCGGCGTCACCCCCCCCCCCAAATGGTGTTACCCTGTGCGGTCCACAACCCACCCCCCGCCACCCCCACGCTACGCCTCTGGCAGGGTGAACGATAATTTAACAGGCCTCTATGCATTACTTTGCGTGTTTGGTTAATGTTTCGTTACAGGGTATAACGAAAAAAGGAAATTTTGTTTGCATTTCAATGCTGGGCATTAATTAGAAACATATTATAGGTTCTATAGGCATAGTAAATAATTGTCTAGGCCTAAATAAACTTAAAACAAATTCTAATTACTGTGTCTCATGTTAAACTATAAATAAAAATTCCATTGAAAAGTTTTATTTTAAACTGAGATATCACAGAAAGTGTTTATAAACACCGTTAAAAATATGCTATAACTGATGCACCATAACTGTAAACACCATAATTGTGAAGATCCCAGCATTGATATATGGAATATTCAAATCACGCTGTGGGTAAGGCAGTTGATGGAACCTCCATAGTTTTATCACAGAGTTTATCTAAGGAATGATATTGAGAAACATTACTACGAGTTGATGTATGCTTTGATTGTCCTTCTAGAGTACCAGTCAACAGTATTGGGTCATACACGTGAAGAGGAACAGATAGTAGATTTAATACTGGAGGTTAGTCATGATATCAAGGACGTCTAAAAGAAATGACAATATATTGTTATTTTGTTTTCTAGTGTTAGAAAAGTTAGCAGAGGTAGCTTTATCTTCAGGAGCTGACTATACAAATGAATAAACCGGGAGTGATATCCCCTAAACTTTCTCGAATATTCTTATATAACAATACGGGGAATGGCAACTCCGAATATAGACAGTATTTTAAACAATTTATAATTACTTAAACTTTTTAAAAAAGAATAGAATCTCGTAGAGAAAATAACTGCACACTAAGTGAGGAGGTTAGCCATGAGATCAAGGAAGTGTAAGGGGAGCATAAGGTGGACTAAGTGTGCCTGTATGGTGCCTGTGTGGTGCCTGTATGGTGCCTGTATGGTGTCTGTATAGTGACTGTATGGTGTCTGTATGGTGCCTGTATAGTGCCTGTACGGTGCCTGTATGGTGCCTGTATGGTGCCAGTATAGTGCCTGTACAGTGCCTGTATGGTGCCTGTATGGTGCCTGTATGGTGCCTGTATGGTGTCTGTATGGTGCATGTATTGTGTCTGTATGGTGTCTGTATGGTGCATGTGTGGTGCCTGTATGGTGCCTGTATGGTGCCTGTATGGTGTCTGTATGGTGCATGTATGGTGTCTGTATGGTGTCTGTATGGTGCATGTGTGGTGCCTCTATGGTGCCTGTATGGTGCCTGTATGGTGCCTGTACGGTGCCTGTATGGTGTATGTACGGTGCCTGTATGGTGCCTGTATGGTGCCTGTTTGGTGACTGTATAGTGCCTGTATAGTGCATGTATAGTGACTGTATGGTGTCTGTATGGTGCCTGTATAGTGCCTGTACAGTGCCTGTATGGTGCCTGTATGGTGCCAGTATAGTGCCTGTACAGTGCCTGTATGGTGCCTGTATAGTGACTGTATGGTGTCTGTATGGTGCCTGTATAGTGCCTGTACGGTGCCTGTATGGTGCCTGTATGGTGCCAGTATAGTGCCTGTACAGTGCCTGTATGGTGCCTGTATGGTGCCTGTATGGTGCCTTTATGGTGTCTGTATGGTGCCTCTATGGTGTCTGTATGGTGTCTGTATGGTGCATGTGTGGTGCCTGTATGGTGCCTGTATGGTGCCTGTATGGTGCCTGTATGGTGCCTGTATGGTGCATGTGTGGTGCCTGTATGGTGCCTGTATGGTGCCTGTATGGTGCCTGTATGGTGCCTGTATGGTGCCTGTATGGTGCCTGTTTGGTGACTGTATAGTGCCTGTATAGTGCATGTATGTTGTCTGTATGGTGCCTGTATAGTGCCTGTATGGTGACTGTATAGAAGAATGTAAGCTGTCACCACGTCAATCTGTTTTTGGATTGTACTTTGATTGTCGTTATTCTACTGTGGATGTATCATTGTTATTTATTGTGGATCTATTTTAATGATGTAAATAAAGTTGAAAGTTGAAAGAACTGTTAGTTGTATTCATTGAAGCAAGAACCCACAATAACACCATATTGTCATATTAACGATTACGTGATGTTACAAACGATACATATGAAATTTAAATCCACCCAAAAACATTCTAAATCCAAAATTAAATAAGAGAATAATGGCGGACAGCAAAACAAAAGATATAACAAAACCCCTAAACTATTCGTAATTAAATGAATAGGGAAATAAAACAAAACAAAAGAATAATGGTGTTGGAATTGTTTGCCCTAATTATTCTATACACACTTATTAAATAAAATAAAATTGATTAGACACACTGTCATGTCTCTGTGCTAAGCTAGCCGATTAAGTTAAGACGTAAGTGAGAATACTATTGCTGCGATGTGATATATAAAGGAAACTTAATTGAATTTTAGATTTTACAAGGGAAACAACTTACCATATTCTTTTGTTGATTAATGTGTACCTTGGCAGTGCGAAAAAAAATGCATCTATTAAACTAATATTTTATTTTCGAAAAATAACTAATGCGTTCGTATATGTCATTTAATAGATTAGTTAAGATATAAAAATGGAACAGAATTACCATTGTATTTAAAATCTTAGGAACCATTTAAAAATGTTATGTCTCGCTATATAAGTTGTGACTGATTTTCGATCAATGATGTGAAATAGAAACCCAACAATGCATTAGACTTCTTGCGACAAAATTTGAATGCCACTGGACCTGAGACAGCAGACGTTGAGGCTCTGAAGCTTGAGGTCACTGAACTGAGACAGAAATGTGAACAGTGGCAAGAAGAAAACAATGACCTCAAAGCACGGCTGCAGCAGTTTGAGCCCACAGCTGAGCCAGACACCCCTGACAACTAAGACCTGACCTGCTCGTACACTCCAATGTTTTGTAATCAAATAAACTACATGCTAAACTTCAAAAAAAAAAAGGAAACCTTTTGAGTCTAAAGCAGGGGTCTCCAAACATTTCAGTCCGAGGGCCGCATTAACTATCAATTTTCAGCTCGGGGGCCAGTTTCTTCTAGAAATGTCTTTGATTTTTCTGGTCAAAGTTCCTCAGCCATCACCAACAAACGCTTTTTCTGTGGACAAAAAGATCTCCGCGGGCCGGATGAGAGGACATCGCGGGCCGCATCTGGCCCGCGGGCCGTAGTTTGGAGATCCCTGGTCTAAAGAGCCAAAAGTTACAATTTACAACATTACCCGGTTTTTAAAGAGCCACTAACATTTTTATGTCAATAGTATATTTGTTTAGGATTTTATATATATATATATATATATATATATATATATATATATATATATATATATATATATATATATATATATATATATATATATATATATATATATATGTATATATATATATATATGTATATATATATATATATATATATATATATATACATATATATATATATATATATATATATATATATATATTCCTAAACAAATAGCATACTATATATATATAATTTAAAATAAATAGCTTTGAATATATGAGATAATCTAATTTGAATTTGTGTTGAGAGGATCTACTATGTAAGTCAGAGTAATTGCATTTGTTTTGAATTGCTCAATCTCTCAGTGAAAACATCCCTCATTTTGTTTATATTAATGCTGAAGTGATTGAATAGTAGCATTGGTTTCATAACGATATTTTTTCGTAATTAATTTACTGCTCACCATGTATTCAACAAAAATGTTTTTTTTTTTTCGAAACAAACCACTTCTTCAAGCAAGACATAGGCTGGGTTTTCCTTTCAGTTTTACACTTAGCTGGTTTAGTTTCTGTGTGATATCCACTATGAAGTTGAATGTTTCATTTCGGAATGAACAATGTAATAGGAAGTACATTGAGATAGGGAGTAGCTAAATATTCTAATATAATAGTGAATGTTTATTGCTTATATCTTATGTTATATCGTTTATTACCGAGTGTTGCAGACTAATATTTTTTATGAGTTTTGAAAATAAAATAATTATTAATATTTGTGCATGGAGCTGAAGAGCCGCAACTGGACACCAAAAGAGCCGCATGCGGCTCGCGAGCCGCAGGTTGCCGACCTCTGGTGTATGATATTGTGCATATGCGAAAATTTTTGTTTTAACTTTTTAGGCTTAAAATAAATAAATAAATAATGTCAAAATAATTAAAAAAAAATACTGCGAGCTGATGTATGCTGTGATCGTACATCTGGAGTAATAGTCGACAGTGTTATACAAGTGTTTAAATATAAGACGGAAATAAAAATATATTAGCAACAATCAGAAGAGATGGAGAAAATGTTACATCTAACCCAGACCATAGCTGTTATTGTAACAAAAAAAAAAAAAGAAAAGACGTCAATAGTCTAATGACCCAGTATGTTTCTTCTAGTGAATATATGTGATTGCAAAATACGATCTTTTGAAATGTGGCTTGTTTTTAGTTTATACCCCCGTGAGTCGAAACAACATTGTTTTTCCGAATGTCTCTGTGTGTGTGTGCATGTGTGTGTATGTGTGTGTGTATGTGTGTGACTGTGAACACGATAACGTGAGTACCGTTATAACTAGGCCGATGCCATTTCATATGCCTTTTATATCAAGAAAGAGAGAGAGAGAGAGAGAGAGAGAGAGAGAGAGAGAGAGAGAGAGAGAGAGAGAGAGAGAGACAGAGACAGAGTGGAGACGAAATGAAATATGTTAGATGCATATTTCTGTATTTGACAAAAGTTAAAAACCGGTCGTGAGTACCCGCTAAAGACCAATAGAAAAAAAAAAAAAACTTACCTCAAAATTCCCAGCCCTATTCCTGTAGCAACTCTCAATGGTAGTAAATAGTATGGTGTCAAAGTTCAGTGGGGCTTAGCGCCCCCCCCCCCTCCCCCCGAAATTGTTTTACCGACCCCCCCCCCCCCGAACAAAATGAAATTTATATAATTTATATAGAAAATATATACTTTTAACAGTGTCCCTCCCCCCCCACGAAGAAAGTCTACCGCCCCCCCCCCCCCCGAAAATTTCAAGTGCCCTTCCCCCCCCCCCCCTCCCCGGAGAAAAAAAGTCTGGAAGAAACAATGATCTTTTATTTTTCCAGTGATAAACCTAACACAAATAAAAAGGTAAAAGAAACCCCCTGCCACTAATAGTATCATCACTTCCATTAAATACAAAAGAAAAAAAAGAAAAGTAGGGGATCCGACACTTTTCGATGGGATATTTACTTGAACTACGCGTACAAGATAAACATGTTAGCGATTTTCTGTAACGGAGACAACTTATATACAATACTTTTATGTAAGAATATATATTATATTAATACATTTATATTAATTAATTGTTGATTACCAATTAGTTAGGCATATTATAAATGTTTTGATTACATTTCTATAATATATTACTATATTGTAAAAGAGCTATATTCAATCATAAGTATATCAAAAGAGTGAAACTATCATTTTATTTTAAAACCATGACTACATTAAAAGTTTTTTTTCTTAATCAAATTATTACTGCAACTTTTTTTCGCAAACCAAGTGAAAAATAAATCCCTTTGTAATGTCAATAAATCCCTTTGTAATGTCTAGACCAGGGGTCGGCAACCTGCGGCTCGCGAGCCGCATGCGGCTCTTTTGATATCAAGATGCGGCTCTCCAGCTCCTTGCACAAATACTAATAATCTTAATAAAAAAATAAAATATTTGAAATAAAAAGTTTTTAGTGGCTCTTTAAAACCAAGGAAATTTTGAAAATTGTAACTTTTGGCTCTTCCACTTCAAAAGGTTGCCGACCCCTGGTCTAGACTTACAGGCTGCAACCTTAATCACTACACTTGTTCTCACCCCTTACCTATCTCATATCATGATTTTGATTGTTATTCCTGTTTCCATATTAATACCTTTTTATTTCCACTACACATTTACTATGTCATTGTTAAACTGGTTTCTTTTTCTTGTTTGTAAATATTTAAACAATGTAGATGTGATTATTTTAAAATGGAAAATAAAAACATATTTTTAAAAATTGAAAAAAATAAATAAAAAAATTAATGAAGAATAACTGAAAAATATGTTAAACAAAAATGGCTCTAGCGTTGCAGAGGTTACTTAAGGGTCGTATATAAATGACGTCACACTCGCAGGGGGAGGGGAAGTCCGTAATTTTGTGACGGTGTGTGATGAAGTGGAAGGTGGGGGGGGGGGGGGGGGGGTCAGATGGTGTGATTTCACACTTTTGCATCATAAAAAAGCAATAATAGAAAATGAATTATAACTTTTATTTCGCGTTTTAGAACAGTAGAACAGTGTTTTAATAAATTGACATATGAATTGATTAAAATACTCGATGTTGACAGAGTTCA